ATGGCAGATAGATGGGGAAACAGTGGAAACAGTGGCTGACTTTATTTTTCTGGGCTCCAAAATCACAGCAGATGGTGATTGCAGTCATGAAATTAAAAGACGTTTACTCCTTGGAAGGAAAGTTATGATCAACCTAGACAGCATATTAAAAAGTAGAGACATCACTTTGTCAACAAAGGTCCATCTAGACAAGGCTATGGTTTTTCCAATTATCATGTATGGATGTGAGAGTTGGACTATAAAGAAAGCTGAGCATTGAAGAATTGATGCTTTTGAACTGTGGTGTTGCAGAAGACTCTTGAGAGTCCCTTGGACTGCAAGGAGATTCAACCAGTCCATCCTAAGGGAGATCAGTCCTGGGTGTTCATTGGAAGGACTGATGTTTGAAGCTGAAACTCCAATACTTTAGCCACCTGATGCGAAGGGCTGACTGATTGGAAAAGACCCTGATGCTGGGAAAGATTGAGGGCAGGAGAAGGGACGATAGAAGATGAGATAGTTGGATGGCATCACTGACTCAATGGACATGGGTTTGGGTGGACTCTGGGAGTTGGTGATGGACAGGGAGGCCTGGTGTGCTGCAGTTCATGAGGTCGCAAAGAGTCGGACACGACTGAGCAACTGAACTGAACTGAATTTAGACAAGATGTTTACACACCTTAAGAAAATATCTCACTTTCAAGAGAAAAGAATTTGCTGCCTCAAAATATTGTGCCAAATGCCATGGTAAATATAAATTTTATGTGTCTGGGGTAAACTTCTGAATGCAAGATACTGGGAACTAGTATGTGAGAAGGACATTCTGTTCTTATCTATTCCCCACCTGCCTCCTCACACACACTTTCTTCTTCTGAGTTTTTGACATTTATTAGGTTCCTCAAAACTGTGAATTTACTCATGCTAAGCAATGTGAGAGGTAGAAATACAGGCCTTCCCATCTTTTTTACATTCAAGTTTCTTCAGCAGTTTAAAATCTCTAAAGTACAGTAAATTGGTAGCCACTAACGAAAGTTCTTCACAGATTCTTTACATTCATAGAGCTTTTTTCTGTTAAAAATCTCTGAGGTAGAATAAAAGGTGCATGTTTTTCATGAGTGGGTAATTCTCCACAGCTGACTGCCTCACACCTGAAATCAAAATGCATACCATGGTTTCACATCCGCAAAAACTGATCTGTCCTCCCTGGAGTTACTCTACTGGAGAGGAAGAAAGAGAGAGCTTGCAAAGGGAAAGAACCCTGCAAAAACAGAAGGGCTTCCCGACACACTTGACTTACTCACTTGCAAACAAAATTCTTGTATTTTCATTCTTCTTCTCTGGTCTGTCCTTTACTAATGTTTCCTCATCTTCCTAACCTCTGAATGTTCCAGAGCTTAGTCTTTAACTTTTCCTTTCTACCTAAATACCTTTCCCTGATGATATCATTCAATCTCATGGCTTCAAACACCATCTATGTGCTAAAAGCTTGTGATCTGTATCTCCAGTCTGCACTTCTCCTTAATTTCCAGACTCACATATTTCTACTTGTGTATCTAATAAGATCCTCAAACTTAAGGTGTCCAAACTGAGCTCCTAGTCAGTCCCACTCTCAAACTTGTTTCTCCCAGTCTTAAAAAATGACAATTTCATTCTTCTGGCTGCTCTAGCCAAAATTCTTCACTCTTCTGTTTCTCACTTCCCACATCCAATCCCATGAGCAAACTGGCTTGTTGGCTACCATAATATGGTCACTTCTCAGCTCTTCTGCTACTACCATTGGCCCAAGTTCTTTCATCTGTTTTCTAGATTATTGCAGGAGCATACTAATTGGTTTCTAAACTTCCATCCTTGCTTCTCTAGTCTCAATATAGAGGTCTACGGCTTCCCCCTCCCAGAGTAAAAGCCAAAGCTTCCACAATTACCTATAAGACCTTTATGATCTGCTTGCCACAGAGCTCAATGCTGTCATCTCCAACTACATCTCCAAGCCACACACAATATACCACAATAATAGCATATACTGTGAAGAGTCATCAATAATCTATCTTCCTAAAATAATTTTCTAAAGACAGAGATCTTATCTTGTACCTCTTTTCATTCTTAGGGACTGGCATAAAAAAAAATATATATATATATATATGTGTGTGTGTAACACACATACATGTATATCTATATATACAGAGAGAGAGAGAGAGAGATACAGCAGTTACTCAATTAAATATTTGACAGTGGGAAATTCTGCCTCAAGACAAATCACTGGGAAATAAAAACAGAACAACAGAATAATTATCTAATTCAACATTAGATTGGCATGTAAGGAAGAAAGGCTCTAAAAGAATCTTTTCCTCTCTAAAATTTATGAGTGATAACTCCCGGTGCTAAATTTAGGAAGTCCACTCCAAAAGAGATGATGGACGAGCATGAACCAAGTCTGTTTTCAAGAACAGAAGGTAGAAGACTATCTCTGGACTACACATCTTAGTCACTTCATCTTAGTTTGTCTTTGGGACCTGTACCTGGAATGTTGGTGATAAATTTAACAATGTACTATATATTTCCTTTCTATAAAACCACAATAATCACTCAGACTATGATTGCACTTCCTCAAAATCAACTGGTTTTTGTGGATCAAAGCATGAATAGTCAGAGAATCCTGGAGAAGGTGACAAAGAGAGTCATCAACATAACATTACAAATAATGAAAGCAGAGGAATTGAAAGAAGGCAACTCTGAGCTAGTCCAGTTCACACAAAACGTATACGTGAAACGCAAACAGGCTACAAAATGGTCACACCCAGACAGGTTTGCAATATAACTTAAGCCCACACCTAAACTGGTTTCAACACATATTAAAGAAGTACAATGGAAATAGGATCAGAGGAAAATTTGATTCTTCCAAGTATGACCCCTTGAAGAAGTGTTTGCTAACCTGACTAATGTCTAGGAAAGCAACAAATGTCACAGGATAAAAAGGGAACTAAATGATTCAAATTCTGACAAAGTTCCATTTAGAAAATGAAAAGATATGAAGAAAAAGGCAAAAACAAACAAACAAAAAAAATCTTGATTTTAAAAAATACAACAAAATCACAGAATTATCCATACTAACAAAAAAAGAGACAATAAATGACTGTTTCACCTACCTACAAAGTATCTATGACTAAATGTCTAGGTGCACTAAACAAATACTACTGCTACAATGTAAAAACACCAAAACAACTCCTATGTTTCAAATTCTTTCATTATTTCATTTAATATTATTTATATTTCCTTAAAATTACCTGACTATTTTAATTATCTAAATATCCATTGGTAAGTATGCAAAGGCCAAAGAGATTCATTTGGTAAGAAACAGAGAAAAAACTGCTTTGATACTGACATTAATTCCTTTAGTATGTAACAACTCAAGTGGGGTTTTTTTGATGTCTCCCTTGTGTCAGCCACTCTAAACACAAGCCTGAAAATAACTTATACAGGCCATATAAAATTGGCTCAGGTGATTTAGCCTAATCCGACCTTACACTATGCAAGACAACACCAGTAGTTATGTGCACAGGACACAAGCCATTCAATACTAAGTTTTCAACCAAAACTGACTCCCTAGTGCCTCAACAGGACCATCTAACACTCTTTAAAAATTTAAAGCCGAGCAGTAGAACCAGAAACAACACATCAATCGACATGCCTAGGATTTTTCCACAACCACACTAGCGCTCAGATAAATTTTATCTCTGATAACAACTTTGCTATCGCTTGGTTATAAAGAATAAAACTTTCTAATGACCTCTGACTATATTTTAAAGTACTTACTTAACAGTAAACGCAGGATGTTTTCTTCTATTGAAACACTCTCAATAACAAGTCCATAAATAACCGGATAAAAATTAGTAACTTTCCTTCCTTTTACATAGTAGCTTACCCAGTTTAGCGGCGCCCTCTGGCGGGTATTCAGGAAACTGACCCTCGGAAGGAACACTGACAGTTCTCCGCAGGCATCGCCCTTTGGTGGAATCCATCTGCTGCTCTTGTCCTCCCTCCACGGGGATCTAGTAAACCAAAAAAGAGATGAACCAAAAAAGGTGTGACATGAGCACCTTCTGACCGAATAACGTTTTCAGGTGATGAAGACAGGAGGGTGCAATCATCAGAGCAAGACAGAAGAAATGGAGAAATAAAGTCTACACAATGGTTAAAGTACTACTAACCCCTTTCAGGAAGCTTTTCTTTAAAAAAGAAAACTGAAAGATCTGGAAAGGTGAGTATGTAAATGAGCTTTCATGAAGTATGTACAAATCACATCCAGGTGTATCTGCTTGGGGAGCTTGGAACACAAAACAAGACACCCATGCAAGTTAAGATTCTTTCACATCAGAAACCAGTGCACGAGTTCCAGTTCTGTCCAGCGTTCAGTAAGGTAATGGAAATACAGCCAACCAGAAAGATTTCGCTCCAAAATTCTCGTAAAAGAAGGTTTTGTTAGATAAAAGTAGTAAAATTACCCAAATTTTCTCCAATTTTAGAAGTAAGCACTTAGAGATAGTTAATACAATACTATCTATAGATGTTTTCAGTCAAAACGTACAGATACTCGCATAAAATGGCATATTGTTTCCACAAGTGAGACTAATTTTTGAAATCCTAAAAAAAATATTTTTTTCTCGCGTAATTTTTCTTCCTGGTTGTACACATGGAATGAGAACGACAAATGGTATAAACGATGTCTAACGCCATTAACTGTTTTCTAATTTACACACCGGTCACTGTTGTGAAGCAATGCCATGGCTCTAAGCTCCTTTTTCTTCCCCCAGTTTTGGTAATTGTAAAAAACCAAGTCATCTTACTTTGGGAGAAGGGCAAAAACTTTTCTCAGTGAGACTTTATTAGTAACCTCTATCGGAATTAAGAATAGTGTTCATAATATCTTAAATAGTTTGGCAAACTATGTCAGGAATTATGGTACCAAGGCCTCAGAATCATGCCCCCGCCCCTCACTCAAATGGACACTAACTGCCCTTATCTGAGTTTCAGGCTCAATTACAAAAAGAGGAAGTTACCGAGAGAAAAACAAGAACTGGCTTGGGCCAGCTAGGCCCAAGCTGGCAGAAGACCTGATCTCCAGGGGACCTTGATCTTCGTTATATGTTCACGGTTGATGTATTAGCATGCTAAATGACACACCCACGAGCGCCATGACAATTGGCAATGGCCGTGACAACTGGGAAAGTCCATATAAAGACTTTCTGAAAAGGGGTGCCACCTCAGTTCTGTGTACAAACCACACCCTTCTTCGCAGGTATCTCATGAATATTCTTCCTTCTCTTTACTCAATTCTGTCCTTTTTACCTCAACCCTTCTACAGAAACGGTGTCTCCACCTGAATGAGGTTGAGAAGTTGATTTTCGAAGTACATTCCCACAAGTCTCTACTTCTTTGGTCACTGAATAAACTATGTGCCATTCTATTCTCAGCACCAGTTTTGCTATTATTGGTTGTGTGAATCTGAGTGGGAAAAAGAACCTCCTCGACCAAGACCCCTTGGCTTAGATTAGGACCCCGGTGTGGGTGCAGGCAACCAATTCGGCAACAATTAATCATAGTCTCTGATTCTTATGGCTCCAATATAGACATTTTTAAACAAATTTCAATAGACTAGCATTAGGTTCCTACCATGCACAAGGCTAAGGAATTTATATGTGTGACATTATGAGGGAGCTATTATTATTATTCCCTTTTTACAGATGATGAATAATTTATTTCTCCAGGTGATTAATATGGGCACATCAATTGATCCAGCAAAACTGGGACAGATACGAGCTTAAGTGTATCTGCTTCCTGCTTTGCCTCAGTAATTTAAGTACTATGACTGGGTCAAGGGGACGATACCAAAGGAAGTTTTCTCTGTATTACTGGGAGTCTGAAAAGCAAAATTCTCATGTCTTCATAAGGACTGAAAATTTTCATGCTTTATAAGACTAAAAATTCCGTTTCCTCATTGCCATAACTACAGTTACTGCTAGTGGAATTAAGAAAAGTAAAATTCTAAAACATAAGGGGATATCAAATAATAGCATCAGTAAAGACATTAACTCTTCCAAAAGCTCTGTAATAGAAAACTTTATGAACAGTAATCTAAGTCATCTGCCCCTTTCAGGATGGAAATGATCTCTACTTAAATAATTAAAAGAGTAGCGCCCAGAGGTTAAATAACCCCCTCCTAATAGGGAAGGTAAAAATGTATCCTCTACCTGCCTTAGGACAGAATGGAGGTAAATTGGGGGGGGGGGGGGTGCGGGGAGTAGTTTGGATCTTTGAACAAACAGATGAATCTAAATAAACATAACTGTTTTTGCAATAGTTCCCCCAAAATGCCTACTATCTGAATTAATGAAGACCTAAGCCACAGAGAAAAAAGGGGTTATTTTTTATATTTTAGGAGGGACTGACCTACAATCTTTTCTGTGGAAATTCATAAAGGCAAAGGAAAAAGAAAGACGTGGTTTCTATTATCACAAACTTTATCTGTATCATATCTAAGAAGAGAATAAATAAAATATATCAAGCATCTTATTTGAGCCTAAATGTCACTCACAATTATCTTCTCAAAGTTTCAATGTAGACTTATCTTTTTCCACAGTTGAAACTTAAAATATGATGAATGATTTTATTCACAGCATTGCTCTTAAGTTTAGGACATTTCTGACTCAATATAATGGAGAATAGTGTTTACTTTTATTCTAAATGTGTTTCTTAAGAATCATTTTCTTTTACAACACCATTGATTTGCTTCTTACATAAATTATCCTTTTAAAGATATTGACCTGCTTCTTAAAAGTTAGAGGTATAATATTTCAAGTATCTTCAAATGAACTAAGCAAGAGTTTTACAAATCTCAGCCATACAGCCAAAGAAAACTAGTTTTTAAAAAGACAGTTTTAAAAAACAATTTTTTCCGTTCCAATTGTCCTAATTTAGCTTACTAGTTCACATTTACTTGTATACTGAATTACCCTAAAAATTGTGTATCTTTCAGGTTCTATAACATGAGAGAAATTTTTATCTTTCTTACAACCTCTCTTGGCTTATATTGTGCATCTTCTGAAATTTCTTTTTCGTCAAGGAGAGTGGTGACCACCACTGTCTTTGGCTGCCTATTGTCCAATGTTTGAAAAATAATAGCTGCTATGTGTATTTCTTGGTCCAGTCTTGTATTGTTTGCAATGGGAGGGCTAGTCTTGTAACAGTTACTCCATCAAAGCTGGTGCCAAAAGCCTCCGATTCTCTCTTATCCAAACTACTAATATGGTCTCTTTGTTGGTGATATTATGCCCCTTAAATCTAACCTGTATGTGGGTTAACAGAGTATTTCAAAAATGCAATCATAACCATGTCATTCTGAGGCTTAATGGCCTTCACTTGCTCTCCTTTGCAGTGGTTTTCAAAGAAGAGATGGTATGCTCATATGTGGATGTGAAGTGCTTCAGTTCAGTTCAGTTGCTCAGTCGTGCCCAACTCTTTGCAACCCCATGGACTGCAGCACTCCAGGCCTCCCTGTCCATCACCAACTCCCGGAGTTTACCCAAACTCATGTCCATTGAGTTGGTGATGCCATCCAACCACCTCATCCTCTGTCATCCTCTTCTCCTCCTGCCCTCAATCTTTCCCAGCATCAGGGTCTTTTCAAATGAGTCAGTTCTTCGCATCTCTGCTTCAACCACACTCTAATCTGGAGTTTACCCGCTGTACAGGGCTTCTATGTAAGCTTTTCTACCAAGGAAGGGTTGTTCTGCTAAAAGTGTCTTAAAACTACTATCTTACAGAGTAAGTACAAGGTTCCTGATATAGCATACCAGGTTTTCCACAATCTGGCCACTGTTTGGGTATCCAGCTTCGCACTTTACATTCTAGGAACACCAATTTGCTTGCGTTTTCCTAACATATTCCCTATGTTGCAGTTCAGTGCCTTTAGTGAGTTTGTTCTCTCAGTCTGAAAGATTTTTTTCTCAGTTTCTTCTCTATTCCATACTTGCCAGTCAGCTCTGATCCACCCTGAGACCTAGGACAGGCATTGCCTCTTCAGGAACCTTCCCTTCTATCAATCCCCTAAGGGCAGGTTAGGACACATCACCTGAGATTTCTCCAATAACAGATCTTTCTCTGCCACTATACTTATACATGGGATCATAATTATTCATCGGTGCAACTGATTCCACATAAGTTAACAGCTTTACTCACCAGTTGATTCGCAAACCTTAAAATAGTTACAACTCACAAATGAATAAATGAATATTTGATAGGTAGACATGGGGGCCATTTTAGGCAAACGAAAAATATAACATCAGCCAAGAAGTTGGTAAACATACTATTTTTTTTATTTTTGGAACCTGGAGTTAGTCAATTTAGCTAGAGCCTCTTAAGGCGGAGAAGTGGGAGAGAATACCAAAATATATTATAACCACATGGGAGGGCTTTAATACCAGGCCATGAATAATTCAGGAAGCACTGGGAAACCATTCAAGATTTTAGATCAGAGGAATAGTGGTCTCTTAATTGGTCTGTCTCCTTCCTATCTTTCCCTCTTCCAATACACCCCACAGATTAATATTCATAACACATAACTCTGACCCCCTTCCTTTCTTAAGCTTCCTTTGGTAATTGGCCATTGCCAGCAGCATCTTAATGACAACAGACTATAGTCCTTTGGAATAAATAGATTTTTTTTCTTTTATTCTATCCAGTTTACATGTGCTATTTATCAAATGCCATTTTAAAATTATTTATCCTATTCCCACAACTAAATTTGGTACTGGGGAGAGAGGAAAGAATTGTGTCTTATTCTCTGTAACTCTGAACAGTGAATTCACATATAGGGGCACATTATGTATCTGCTGAATAACTTAAAAGCAGCTCTGAACGAAATATGCCATGGGTAGTTTACTCCAAGATAAATAACACTTGATTTTAGTTATTTGCACAAAGCCTAACTGCTATTTTCATCAATATATCTGAGTGTAAATACTGCTTTCTGAAAGGAAGAAAAATATTTTTT